TCAGCTTTCCAAGTAGCTGGAACTACAGGCGCGCGCTACCACGCCCGGCTAATTTTTTTTTTTATTTGTTGTAGAGATGAGGTCTTGTCAAGTTGCCCAGGCGGGTCTCGAACCCGTGGGCTCAGGCAATCCACTCGCCTCGGCCTCCCAAAGTGCTGGGATTACAGGCTGAGCCACCGAGCCTGGCCTTATTTTTATCTTTTTTTAAAAAAACGATTATTAATGCATTTGTTAGTATTTAATGAACCTCCCTGTGTGCAGCTTCAACTCACCAAGACATAAGCTCCCCCCACACCCTTAATCTTCTCAGCTTTTCTGCTGAAGAATTTGGCCTTCTGATGACAGGCTGCTTTGGGAGTTTTCCTTTTCCCAGAACTTTGTAGTAGCCAGATCGTACCACATGAGTGATGGGAGCAGCTCCAGTCTTATCGTTAGCTGCATTCACCTGTGTCTGCTCACTGACCAAAGTCTACAATTTATCAAGGTTGACAGTTGCGCGGTAGCTCTGGTTTCTCTTTATGTGGTAATGCCTCATTCCAACTTTCCTGAGGTAACGTGGGTGATTTTTGTCAAGGTTGATCCTGTGGTGATGCATGCCGCCAGCATTACCATGGCTCCCCAGGTGTTTTGGTGCTTGCTGGTGTGACTGTGACTGTAGTTCATGTAGCCCCTAAGTTCTGGGTCTTCCTTGGTCTGGATGGCATGTTGGTGGCTGAGATGAAAGCTATTTCACCATTTTTTAAATCATGCTATCATTTTTATTATTTTAATTGAACATTATGTTTTGGCTGTGTTTCACATGTTAGAATGAAAGGCAAGGAAGGATTAAGGGAAGTAGAAAAAAGTATGCCAGAATGTATACATTCAAATTGACGCTACCTGTCCGAGCAGATATACTTGCTGCTGGTGCTCAAAATAGCCACTGGCTCTCATTTTTTAAAAAATGGCTTCAGGGTTTTATTTGCATCTGTGCAAATATTTATCTATTCAGCATGAAACTATTAGTGAATTCAATTAATAGTTTAGCTTTGAGTTTGCATGATACTGGCTATTTTCAGAACATTTGACTTTGTAGATTCAGCAGGAGAATAGTTTTGATGAGTACTTTTTAAGATTAGTTTGCTAGAAATGGATTATCTGTGGATTAATGACACTGGTTTATTTTTTTTCCCTAGTCAGCAGATAAGCAGCGAGCCCTAGAAGAAACCAAAGCCTACACCACCCAATCCTTAGCGAGTGTTGCCTATCTGATAAACACCTTGGCCAACAATGTCCTGCAGATGCTGGATATCCAGGCATCCCAGCTACGAAGGATGGAATCTTCAATCAATCATATTTCACAAGTGAGACCATACGATTTTTCTATTTACCTGTGAGGAACCTTCAATAATAAACACAGGCTATCTATAAACTTGATAACTTGATGGCATGCTTACATTTTTGTCTTTATTGACAGGATTTATGTTTACTAGGATAGTACCATACCTGCAATAATGGAAAGACTAAGTGACTAGCAAACTTTATACAACTGTTTTTTATGTAGAACTTTTAAGAAAGTGTTAAACTTTTCCATTATAAAAGCCATGCTTATGAAAATGTAGAAAAAGCGAAAATGGGAAAACCCGTTTACTACTTCCCAAGCTCTTCACTATTAATATTTTGATATATTTCTTTGTAATACTTTTTCTATAAATAGTCTTTTAAAATGTACCTGTGATTATAATAGGTGTAGAATTTTGGGTTCTGTTCCTTTAACTTAGCATTAGAATGTACCTTCTTGATGATATAAACTCTTCATAAACATTCTTGATGGCTACATAATCTTGCGTGTATATGTTATAGCTTTTATATACATTTTCTGTATTTAGGGGTCTTTTAATGCTTTGAAAAACTAATTTATTTAATTAATTAATTTTTTTTTTGAGTTGGAGTCTCACTCTGTCACCCAGACTGGATGTAGTGGCTGCTCCCGGCCACCACAGCCTCGACCTGCTGGGCTCTGGCGATCCTTCCGCCTCAGCCTTCCGAGTAGCCGGAATTACAGGCGCGCGCTACCATTCCCGGCTAATTTTTTGATTTATTGTAGAGATGAGGTCTCACCAGCGGGCTCAGGCATCCACTCACCTCAGCCTCCCAATGGCGCAGGATTACAGGCTGAGCCACTGAGCCCGGCTTGAAAAACCAATTTAATTGCAAAGTACAATTCCCCCCCTTCCCCACAAATACTGTTTTAAAAACATAAAAATGGTAAAGGTTTTGATCTGCCTGACTTTTTTTTTAAAGATCTTTGAAAATTCCCATTTTAGCACTCTTATCATTTGAATAATTTGGTAGTAGTCAACACTTTTTATTTTTTATTTTTTTTTGAGTTGCAGTCTCACTCTCTTGCCCAGGCTGCAGTGCGGTGGCATGCTCACGGCCACCCCAGTGTCGACCTGCTGGGCTCCGGCGATCCTTCCGCCTCAGCCTTCCAAGCAGCCGGAACTACAGGTGAACACTGCCATGTCTGACTGTTTTTTGATTTATTGTAGAGTCAAGGTCTCGCCAAGTTGCCTGGGCTGGTCTTGAATCCCCTGGCTTGGGCATCACTTGTCTCGGTCTCCCAAGGTGCTGGGATTACAGGCTGAGCCATCGAGCCCGGCCTCAACTCTCTTTTTAGACCTAAATGATTAGAACTCTTTTGAATAAAAATAATTTTAAAATGTGCATATTATTGTTTTTTGTATATCTTGAAAGCTCAGGGCTCTTTTGAAATGGACTGATCTAACCATTTTTGAGAATCTGAAGCTTAGCAAATTTGTATAATTAAATCAAATATATTCCTGATAATTAACTCGGATATGGTAGATCTACCTTATATTTCTGCTGTTTGAAAATTTATCAGATCAATTCAAAAGGACTCTTGTGTTTTTTAATATTATTTAATCTTAAATCTGAATTGGCCATTATAAGAGTTTCTTCATGTCCTATACAAACTTCTGTAGACAACAAGCAATATAATTTATTATATACATATTATATATAAATATACGTAGTGTTTTGTGTCTTAAGCTTAAAAAAAGGAATGGGTGAGTTTTGATGAGCGAGAAGTAAATTTTAGTTTGGAAAGACCTGAAGGAAATAATCAGTGTCATTTTAAATGATGAAATAGATGAACTTCGTTTTCTATAGGAGGTGGAGGTTGACGAATTGCTAATGTGATGTCGAATTTCAAGGTCTATACTTAAAAGTCATAAAATTTTTGCAAGTTTTAAATTTGGCAAAAGACATAAAAGAGAAAATAAGAAGCAAAAAGTGGCCAGGTGCGGTGGTTTTAGCCTGTAATCTCAGCACTTTGGGAGGCTGAGGCGAGAGGACTACCTGAGCTCAGGGGTTTGAGACCAGCCTGGGTAACTTGGTGAGACTTGTCTCTACAACAGATCAAAAAATAAGCTGGACGTGATAGTGCTCACCTGTAGTTCCGCTACTTGGAAGGCTGAGGTGGAAGGATCATGTGAGCCTGGTCGAGGCTGCGGTAGCCCTGAGCATGCCACTATACTCCAGCCTGGGCAACAGAGTGACTTCAACTCAAAAAAACAAAAACAACATCAACAAAAAAACCAAAAAATTAAGCAAAGAGCAACTATAGATGAGAAGTTAATATATTAGACTCCTTAAAAGGAGGGACAACCTTTTATTAGTCATCAGAGGAAAGTAAGAGATTATGTGGGTAAGTAATGACAAAAAGCAAATGGCAATGGCAGATAATTTATTTTCTGGTTAGGATTCTGTAGTTCTTTGGTAGAGAAGGGTGGCAAGCTCAAAAAGGAGGGTGAATACTATAAGCCACTCCAGATTGTAAGTTTGCATGTGAGTTCATTTATTGAGAACATTTTCTTTTTGAGTATCATATAAATTGGCATTTAATTCATATGGTTTAATTAATGCTCTCTTTTAACCAACTATAATGGACTAAGTAAAAGATCAGGACAGATGATTGGATAGAGATTGATAAGTCAGAAATGAGAGACCTTAGCTGTCAAGAATAAGTTGAACTCTCTTTATTTGGAGTTGAATGTCTAGAGGACAGTACTTGAGGGGAGGGCAAGGGATCTATAATTTATAGCGGCTGTTAATTTTATACAAAATAATAGTATTTGGTTGGAGGGTTGGGTAGGAGAACTAGGCTGATAGAGCCTATTTTAAAAGAAATAATTTTTTTTTGTTTTGAGTTGGAGTCTCACTCTGTCGCCCAAACTGGAGTGCAGTGGTACGCTCCCGACCACTGCAGCCTCGACTCGCTGGGCTCCAGTGATCCTTCCACCTCAGCCTTCCAAGTAGCTGGAACTATAGGCGCGTGCTACCATGCCCGGCTAGTTTTTGATTTATTGTAGAGTTGAGGTCTTCACCAAGTTGCCCAGGCGGGTCTCGAACCTGCGGGCTCAGGCAATCCACTCACCTCAGCCTCCCAAAGCGCGGGATTACAGGTTGAGCCACCGAGCCCGGCTTATTTTGGGTTTTGTGGGCCATATATGATTGCAGTCTTATATTAGTCTGTGTGTGTGTGTGTGTGGTTTTTTGTTTGTTTTTTGAGTTGGAGTCTCACTCTGTGCAGTGGCATACTTACAGCCATCGCACCCTCGATCTGCTGGGCTCAGGCGATCCTTCTGCCTCATCCTTCCAAGTAGATGGAACTACAGGCACACGCCACCACACTCGGCTAATATTTTTTTATTTATTGTAGAGAGGAGGGCTCGCCAAGTTCCCCAGGCTGGTCTTGAATCCTCAAGCTCAGGCAGTCCTCTCGCTGCAGCCTCCCAAAGTATTGGGATTACAGGCTGAGCCACCATGCCTGGCCTCTGTGCATTTTTTATTTCTTTTTCTTTTCTTTTTTTTTTTTGAGTTGGAGTCTCACTCTGTCGCCCAGACTGGAGTGCAGTGACCACTCCCAGCCACCGCAGCCTCAACCTGCTCGTCTCCGGTGATCCTTCCGCCTCAGCCTTCCAAGTAGCTGGAACTACAGGCGCACACTACCACCCCCGGCTAATTTTTGATTTATTGTAGAGATGAGGTCTCACCAAGCTGCCCAGGCGGGTATCGAACCCTTGGACTCAGGCAGTCCACTCACCTCAGCCTCCCAAGGCACGGGATTACAGGCTGAGCCACTGAGCTCGGCCTCTGTGTATTTTTTTTTAACAACTATTTTACAATGTTAAAACCATTCGTAGCTTGTGGGCCATATAAAAGCAAGAATGTGGGTCACCTTTGGTGTGTAGCCATAGTTTGCCAGCCCTTGCTCTAAAATACTTTTTTCTTCAGTGTTTGATTCTCAAATTGTGTTATTATTCTTAGCATTATTATTATTGTTGTTGTTGTTCTGATGATGATGATTATGAGTTGGAGTCTGTCATCCAGACTAGAGTGCAATGGCATGCTCACGGCCACCCCAGCTGGGCTCAGGTGATCCTTCTACCTCAGCCTTCCAAAGTAGCTAGAACTACAGGCTGGCTAATTTTTTGATTTAATGTAGAGATGAGGTCTCGTCAAGTTGTCCAGGCTGTTCTCAAACTCCTGGGCTCAGGTAATCCCCTCACCTTGGCCTCCCAAAGTACTGGGATTACAGACTTGAGCCACCGTGCATGGCCTGCATTATTATTAAAATATGTGTTTCTGGAAGGCGTCAGGGGTTGTTACCTTGAGACCAGATTTTTGTGCAACTTAGGCAAAAATACTGAATTCTGAAAATGTCTAGAGAAGATTGAGTAGAAGTGAAGAAACAGAGGTTCTTTCATGTCAAAGACAAGATCACATGTTTATTGGAACAGGCAGTAGGTTTCAAGAGTTCTATGGATTATCGAGTAGAGTTGTTTAGGACTAGGAGATATTAGTTATTGGGGTATTCAGTTTCTTTTCCCATCAGTATCTTTTTTCTGTCACTGAGTTAGAACCTTATTACTTTTCAACCTCCCAGTACTCTAGCCTTTTCTTCCATTTTAGTGGAAATGAATACTGAGTAAGATTGGAGGGGAAAGTGTCCGGGGCTTTACTGTGGCTTTTCTGCTGGTTAGTGTGGCATTTGACTTCTTTGAACTCCAGTTTTTTCATCTGAAAGATTATAGGACTGCTTAGGTGATTTTTTAGCTGTCTTCCATCTTGAATTCTTTATTTTTCGGAGATTCTCACAAGTGAACTTGATGTGTATTTGCTTCTCTTCTCTTCTGGTAGCTGTGCTATCTACTTCAGTGTGTCCACTGATCTCAACCCTTGGAGATAACTGAACTTTTTCCCACATAACTCTGAATTGGAATCTAGAATGGGAATTCCATTGATTCCACCAACATGTATCAGGCAGAAATACTTCCTA